CAACAATTTCTTTCCGAATTTAAACACCCGAACGCCGCACAATATTTTTTTCTCTTTATGTCCATTTTTAAATAATACTTCGATTATAGAATTAGGTATCTACTACAACGCACGCCAGCGTCCTGACGAGCGCGCGCGTGACACTCGACTGATATAATACCCGCCGGCGGGGCGCTTCGCTGTAGGTAATTATCGGATGTAACGCGCGGAGTGAGCCAGGCCTGCCAATGACTCCAAGCTACCCATCCTTATCGTTCGCGCGTAATTATATTGCTGTCGCGCTCGCACACTCACTGCGGCCGCCAGTCGCGACAGCAATATAACGATAAGGATAGATAGTTTGGGGTCATTGGACGAAATTCTACGTGCTCGGCGACCGGACTTTAGTATTCGATAACACTCAGAATATGGTTCATTTAATTTTAATTACCTTTTGGCCATTCTAACATCTTTTTCAATAAAGAAACAGTCTCAGGATTGTGTGTGCTATTCTGAAACAAATAAGAAGCTTTATTGGATGTATTTTTTTAGTAATTTTGTAAAAAATAAACAAATAAAAGATGAAAACTCACCAGTTCTCCTAATTTAACTACGTTTTCTAACTGCTCCGTGGTAAGGGCGCTCAGGCCATCGCCAACTTTACTGTTAAATTCTTTTAGTTTCTCAAATATTGCTTTTAAATTCGCCTGGTCAAACCTGTAACGAAATGCAAATAGTATTATATAATTATAATAAAGTTGATTTGGTTTTTTTAATGGTTTGTAAATCGAAAAAATAATTGTTAACATCGCGTATGTGGGGTGTCTGGGCACTGATACTATAGTATGCAATATTTTCCCCGGCAAACGATGCGATTTCGTGCCACAGCAGTGTTGAGGTAAAATAGTCACTTAGCGATTGCAGGAGTGGCATTACCACAGGGTGCACAGATGACCTTATTATACAGGTAGTAGGAAGGCATTGGATGTAGGCCGCTGTGAAAATAATTGAGGGAGGCCTATGTTCAGCAGTGGATCTTAATACCTGATGTAAGCCTCGTGCGGTATAAGCGGTTTATCCGTCGACGAGGCGACAGTACTGGCAGCACTAGTGGTGTAAGCGCCGGAGCCGCTTCGGGATCATCGTAATCATCATATCGCAAGGGATCGGCGGCAGAGAGCGGCGGTAGGCATTTAGCGGTTATTATCATCATCATTATTTCAGTCACAAGACGGCCACTGCTGAACACAGACCTTCCTCAGTATTTCCCAGATTGGCCGGTTGGTAGCGGCCTGCATCCAAAGTCTTCCTGCTACCTTTATGATGATATCTGCCCACCTTGTGGTTGGACGTTTTGCAATGCGCTTGCTGTCATGTGGCCTGTACTGCAAAACCTTGCTACCATATAACACCGTTAAATAAATATACCTGATATAAGCGTCGTGCGGTATAAGCGGCTTATCCGTCGACGAGGCGACAGTACTGGCAGCACTAGTGGTGTAAGCCCCGGAGCCGGTGAAGGGATCGGCGGCGGACGGCGGCGGAAAACCGGGCACGTAGCGATTCTCATAATCATTTTAGGCACAGGACGCCCAGGTGGAAATTCTTGGGGGAGGCCTTTGTCCAGCAGTTGACGTCTTTCGGCTGAAACGAACGAACAGGACGCCCACTACTGATGAACATAGGCCTTTATTCAGATTGGCTGGTTGGTAGCGGCCTGTATGCAGCTCCTTCTTGATACCTTTATGAGGTCGTCTGCACATTTTGTGGGTGGACGTCCCACGCTGCGCTTACCGTTAAGTGGCCTCCATTTCAGAAACTTGCTGTCCCATCGCCTATCTCCGTTAAATAAATAACAATAATACCTGATGTACCTGACAAAGGGCGATGGAGCGGGCTATGCTCGGAGTTTCCCTGCGTGATCGAATCAGAAATGAGGAGATCCGCAGGAGAACCAAAGTGACCGACATAGCTCGCAGAATTGCTAAAATCAAGTGGCAGTGGGCGGGGCACATAGCTCGTAGAGACGATGGCCGTTGGGGCAGGAAAGTTCTCGAGTGGCGACCACGGGCTGGAAGACGTAGCGTGGGCAGGCCTCCTACTAGGTGGACCGACGATCCGGTAAAGGTCGCGGGAAGAGCCTGGATGCGGGCAGCGCAGGACCGTTCATTGTGGAAAACCTTGGGGGAGGCCTTTGTCTAGCAGTGGACGTCATTTGGCTGAAACGAACGAATACCTGATGTAAGCGTCGTGCGGTATAAGCGGTTTATCCGTTGACGAGGCGACAGTACTGGCAGCACTAGTGGTGTAAGCCCCGGAGCCGGTGAAGGGATCGGCGGCTGACGGCGGCGGAAGACCGGGCACGTAGCGGTTCTAATCACCATAATTTCAGCTATAGGACGTCTACTGTTGAACACAGGTCTTCCCTAATGATTTCCAAATTGACCTGTTGGTAGCGGCCTGCATCCAGCGTCTTCCAGCTACCTTTATGAGATCAGCTGCCTGCCTTGTGGTAGCCTTTACTCCACGATCTTGCTGCACCATCGAGTAACCGTGCTCTTTAGCGGTATTATCGCCGTTAGATACATAAAATAATAATACCTGATATAAGCATCATGCGGTATTAGAGGCTTATCCATCGACGAGAGCACAGTACTGACAGCGACTGAGGGTGGCGGAGCCCTATATAGCGATACTATCTCCGTTAAATAAGTAAACATATTAATAAAGTCCGGTCGCCGAGTGGATAGAATTTCGTCTAATGACTCCAAGCTACCCATCCTTATCATTCGCACGTGATTATATTGTTGTCGCGACTGTGCGACGGGCGGCGGGAGTGGTGTGCGAGCGCGACAACAATATAATTACACGCGACCGATAAGGGTAGCTTGGGGTCATTGGACGAAATTCTATCTGCTCGGCGTCCGGACTTTAGTCTTGTTACCTGATGTAAGCGTCGTGCGGTATAAGCGGCTTGTCGGTAGACGAGGCGACAGTACTGGCAGCACTAGTGGTGTAAGCGCCGGAGCCGGTGAAGGGATCGGCGGCAGACGGCGGCGGAAGACCGGGCGCGGCGGCCGAGCCTGGCACGTAACGATTCTCGCCCGTGAATGGGTCTGCAAAACTGGAATGTAACGGGAGGTAAAGCTATAACAAAGGATAGACTTTATTTATTTATTTATTTATTGTTTAAGATTTACCAACTTGTGGGATATGATGCTCAACCACAATAAGGAAGCTAGATGTTAGTGCTTCCTTCCGAGCGGGTGTTGTGCTCGGGGACCAAGGTCCACTCGGACGGAAGCACTGATATCTAGCTTTCCTGTTTCTATTATGATGACCAATGTGGTGTTTCTGTGCAGAAAGTTGCTTGTGGCTTCGGCTGCAAACATTCATTGTTTCTATTCGAAGACGATTTTTATTGTGGTCGCTGGCGGCTACAGACTATTACGAGATCTAAAGCCTGGTCCGTGAGCACGTAGAACTCGCACACTGACTGCGGGCGCGCGTCGCACAGTCGCGACAGCAATATAATTACGCGCGAGCGATAAGGATGGGTAGCTTGGGGTCATTGGACAAAATTCTACGTGCTCACGGACCAGGCTTTAGTACCATTTATTCTCTTCATCTTGATTAATCTTCTCACGCTTTGGGCAATAATTAGAAGTAGTTTCTTCATCAGTCATTATTAACCTATATTGGGAGCATAATAATATGCTGACTAACTTTTTTTTATAAAATGACGTAGGTCTGTCGTTCGCTAGCTCTTAGTCTATTTCCTTTTAAATATTCTTTTCGCGTTATTTTTCTTGAAAAATCTAATAATTAAATTATTAAGATACAATAGATTGCGATGTTTTGAGTCAATTATGAGAAAAATGTACTTACCCATTACTTGGTGCAGGCAATGACTCCAATTTCGCATTCGTAATAATAAAGTTTGCTACTTGTTCTAAATATACTTGAGGTAGATCATGTCTGAAATAAAACAAAAAACAATCATTAATCTGTTTAAATTAAACAATATTTCATTCAATATTTAATCTAATTTCACGCAGTATTTACGACCTTCTGCTCTATAAAATATAATCTAAAGGATGATGGGCACTTTTCTATGGAATCTGGGCGTAAAACCGACAGAAATGTAACTACTATTATTTGTTAGGACTTAATATCAGAAATATATTTCATATTAATAACTACCAAAAACTCCCGGGTTTGCTTGGAAATTGACATAATGTATAATAGTAATAGGTGCTTTATTGCGCAAACAAAAAATATTATTATTTAATATACTTATCTACTTACATTTTAAATACATTAAGTTATTTATCCATTATTATGTCCAACAGTTCAGGAGTGGGGCCAACAAATGGTATATTTAAACCATGTTCTACATTATAAGCATAGGACCATACCTTGGTACCATTTAGAGAAATTACATGAACAAAGTCATGTTTCAATGGGATTTCTACCACTTAAGTTGTAGTGTTGTCGCACAATCGATCACGGATCGATTATTAATCGATATTGCCAAATAACGATTTATCGATTAACAATTTGATTTATCGATTTTATTGATTACCATCATTACTATCATTTGATTGTTAATTTAATTCCTTATTTTCAGCAATATAATCGATTATTGCAATCGAATAATCGATTATGATTTATTTGGTATACATACTTACTAAATCGATAGTAATATATGATACAATACTCTCAATATGATCGATAAAAGCAATCTAATTGACCTAATACTATTTTTATTACAATAATGTGCTGTGAAATACTATGGAAACTTTGCATATTCAACGACCTCTATCTCCGTATCCCCGTGTATTTCAGGATTGTTGTCATACTATGAAATGAAGTACTAGTATTAAGCTTTAATTTAGTATACTTTTTGTTTCTGTTGGTTTAACGCCCAATATGCCCATCATCCTTTCTTTGTACTTACTTGTGTATGAAGGCTTGCGCGGCAACCCAAGGGTCTTGCGATTTGTTGTAAGGCAGTTTTATTGGCGGAGCGCCATCTTTGATGTCCACGCTAAACACGAAGTCATATTCCTAGAAAAGAAACATTTGGAATTTTTAAGATTAGTGGACCCCAAAAAACGGGTTTCTATCTAGTTCGGTCCTGAAATGTCTCATAAATGTTTGCCTTTTGAACAAACATACAGGACGGGTCAAAAATTTAATTTTTGATTCCTCAGACATAGTAATGTAGTTTTGATTTTTTAAATGTGTATTTGCGAATTTTCAGCCGCAAGAACCTAAATCATAACTTTTATACCCCTTTATTTCCAGCCACCCTGTATAAATCTATACCGCTTCGTAAAACGTTTATCAGATTACTGCGAGTCCATTGTATTTACTATAGACGAATGCATAACAGGCAATTACCTGTCCCTGATACACAGTCTACTTTCTGAAGGCGGGTTGGCGCCCATGACGTCATCGATGTCACTCCAGGTGTTCTCGGCGGCGCTCCATGATGGCGGATTATTGCTAGTCACATTCAGTATAATGTTGTAATTAATGGCACAGTTGCACTATGCGCAAACTTGAACGAAGGACAAATACGCGCCACGGAAGTAGGGGCGACATACGGCGAAACGAATTAAACTGCGTGTTTACACTATTTGATTCGATCAAGTTCGCGCATAGGGGCCGTCCATAAATTACGTCATCGATTTTTTCAGATTTTAGACCCCCCCCCCTACATCATCCTAGCGTCATTTCTTAATGCCCCCCCCCCCCCATCTCCCAAAATTGACGTCATTACCAGTTTGAAAAAATTAAAACACTTGTAGAATCACTTTTTATTTTTTTTTAATAGATAGAGTGATTCTTAAGGAAGGTTTATATGTATAATACACGTAAGTACCACGGGCGAAGCCGGGGCGGGCAGCTAGTATTATATGTAATCAGTAGCGGCGGAAGGGGGGGGGGCGCTCCGCCCCGGGTGCCAAGCATCAGGGGGTGACACAAGTCGCGCAGATTATCGCCCCGGGTGCAAACCTAGGTGTGCTGGAAGAAATTTCTTTTTAGAAATAATCTTTTTGTAGGTGAACAATAAACTATAAATAAATAAATAAGAATGACGTCAATTTCGAAACACCCCCACCCCCCTATCTATCATTTACCGTCATCCGCAGACCAACCCCCCCCCCCCCTAATTTAGAATGACGTAATATATGGACGGCCCCATAGTGTAACTGCGTCATTAAAAACAAATGCACAACAGCCTCACCTGTCCCTGGTTGGCGCCCATGACGTCACCGATCTCGTTCCAGGGGTTCTTGGCGGCGCTCCAAGATGACTGATTACTGCTGGTCATATGTTTACACTACAATAAATTTAAGCATAACAGTCTCACCTGTCCCTGATACATGGTCTTTCCTTCAGCCGGCGGGTTGGCGCCCATGACGTCACCGATCTCGTTCCAGGTGTTCTCGGCGTTGCTCCAAGATGGCGGATTATTGCTAGTCTTATGTATTCACTATAATAAACAAATGCATAAAAATCTTACCTGTCCCTGATACATGGTCCCTCAGAAGGCGGTTTGGCGCACATTACGTCACCGATAGATCTCGTTCTTAGTGACGCTCCAGGATGTCATATTTTTAGACTACAATAAATTTAAGTATAACAGTCTCACCTGTTCCTGATACATGGGCTTCCCCTCAGAAGGCGGTTTGGCGCCCATGACGTCACCGATAGATCTCGACTCTCGTTCTTAGTGACGCTCCAGGATGGCGGATTTTTATTGCTATAATGGCGCAGTTACACTATGCACAAACTTGATCGAAGGGCAAATACGCGCACGGAAGTAGCCAACCCACGGCGATACGAATTAAACAACGTGTTTACACTATCTGATTCGATAAAGTTCGCGCATAGTGTAACTGCGCCATTAAAAACAAATGCACAACAGCCTCACCTGTCCCTGATACATAGTCTTTCCTTCGGAAGGCGGGTTGGCGCCCATGACGTCACCGATCTCGCTCCAGGGGTTTTCAGCGGCGCTCCAAGATGGCGGATTACTGCTAGTCATATGTATTCACTATAATAAACAAATGCACAACAGTCTCACCTGTCCTTGATACATGGTCTTGCCCTCAGCCGGCGGGTTGGCGCACATGACGTCACCGATCTCGTTCCAGGTGTTCTCGGCGTTCCAAGATGGCGGATTACTGCTAGTCATATGTATTCACTATAATAAACAAATGCATAAAAGTCTCACCTGTCCCTGATACATAGTCTTTCCTTCGGAAGGCGGGTTGGCGCCCATGACGTAACCGATAGATCTCGTTCTTAGTGACGCTCCAAGATGGCGGATTTTTATTGCTATAATGGATCAGTTACACTATGCACAAATTTGATCGAAGGGCAAATACGCGCACGGAAGTAGGGGCAACCCACGGCGATACGAATTAAACAACGTGTTTACACTATCTGATTCGATCAAGTTCGCACATAGTGTAACTGCGTCATTAAAAACAAAAGAATAACCGTCTCACCTGTCCCTGATACATGGTCTTTCCTTCAGCAGGCGGGTTGGCGCCCATGACGTCACCGATCTCGTTCCAGGTGTTCTCGGCGTTGCTCCAGGAGTAGCACTTGACGGAAGTCCCGCGCCGCACCAGCCGCGTCTGACCCTCCGACTTGCCGGGTTCGAGCAGCACTTCGGGACCAGGGATCCTGGAGTAAAAGATATTGATTAAACTTGTCACTTCCACCTTCAGCCTGATCATAACTTTCCATCAGTAGCCGTATTCAAGTAACTAAACTTAAATTTGTTTACTGGAGTCACTTTTCGTATTCACGGGTTATTTTGTTTCAATCGTAGCCTCCTATGGTCGCTTACTATGGGCCTCATAAGAAGGCTCAAGGTCACCCAAAGGGCGATGGAGCGGGCCGTGCTTGGAGTTTCCCTGCGTGATCGAACCAGAAATGAGGAGATCCGCAGGAGAACCAAAGTGACCGACATAACTCGCAGAATTGCTAAAATCAAGTGGCAGTGGGCGGGGCACATAGCTAGACGATGGCCGTTGGGGCAGAAAAGTTCTCGAGTGGCGACCACGGGCTGGAAGACGTAGCGTGGGCAGGCCTCCCACTAGGTTGACTGACGATCTGGTGAAGGTTGCGGCAGGTGCCTGGATGCGAGCGGCGCAGGACCGGTCTTTGTGGAAATCCTTGGGGGAGGCCTTTGCCCAGCAGTGGACGTCTGTCGGCTGAAACGAATGAACGAACGAATATTGATTAAAGTTGTCGCTTCCACCTTCAGCCTGATCATAACTTTCCATCGGGTGAGATGCAGGCCAAGAGTTTCTTCGTTGTGGATAAAAAGTTGTTCCCAGTTGGCGCCTGATGAGTGACAAGATAAAACTCATAAAACTCAAAGGTGAGGTCAAAACAAAAAACTTTTTGTAGATTTTTGCAAAAAATATCATTAATTCAAACAGCCAAATCACTAATCTAGTTAGTTACTCCACTTATAACTCAAGAATGGCTGAACCGATTTAGCTGAAAATTGTCAGGGAGGTAGTTTAGAGCCAGGAGAAGGACATAGGATACTTTTTATCCCGTTCAAAATTAAAAAAAAGTCTGCTTATTTATTGCCATTAAGGCGGAACAAAGTTCGCCGGGTCAGCTAGTCTATTCTAAATGTAAATTTTTTGCACTGCCTTACTCTTTCTGCATGACCCGTGGTTGACTGGCAGAGAATGCCATCCGGCATTAAGTCCGCTATAGTGCATTGTTTCTTTGTGTGCTAAAGTTTAAATAAATAAATAATCTACTCAAATAAAGTTCACAAACAATAAGCGACTCACTCGGACAGTTTGTACCCGCCGATCTCCTGCTGCGCGGCTTGCTCCATCTTCTGGACGTCTTCTTCAAACAGACGGAGCGTCTCCTCGTCGGCGTATCGCGCTGCGTCAGCCGTGAACACGCGCACCACGCCGTCGCTTGAGCCTTAAATAGAATAGAATATAAAATGTTTATTTGACTCAAAACAGGTTACATTTACAAGTAGTCACAGGTAAAATGTTTACTTGCCAATGGTGCTTACTGGTGGTTATTCACGGCGCCTTTGGTGAGCGCAAGTAATAATTACGCATGCGCACAAATAATTTAAACATTAAATGCTTTAATGTTTTGCCTAAATTGAGTTTTAAATGGTAAAATAGGACCTGAATGTCTCCAACTTCCTCATTGGCCCTAGAGCAATTCCAAGTATACCATCAATAAAAGCCTAATTAGAGTCATCAAACCTCTCAGTCATTCAATTAGAGCCATTAGAACTTCATAACTATGAGTTGTTTTCTGTGTGTAAGCTGAGGACACGTGTCCCCAGCTGACACATCTGTATCTTCGTAAATATTTATGCCACGATAATGTATTATACCTCAAAAATTACAGTCGAATCCAAATAGTAGGCTTTCCACTTTTCAAGACTTTAGCTCAAATACTGTTAAAACCACGATCAAAAAACTATGTGCGAGCTGGAGTACCGTGTCTCCAGCTTACACATCAGTATCTTTGTAAATATTTAAGCTACATCAATGTTTTATATCTCATAAATTAAAGTCGAATAAAAAAACCCGACTTCAAATCTTTCAAAGCTTTATCTCGAACCGTTTTCGAACTACGAACCGATATGTATGTGTAAGCTGGTGACACGTAACACACGGTGGATTATTAAAACCGTATAAGTTAGAGTTGCGTTTTAAAGATCAAATAATTCGTTATAATTAAAGTACACACGAGACATAATTTCAAATCTCTAGGCCTCTTAGTTTCAGAATTAAAAGCCAAAAACTATTTTCCCGCCAAATAATTCAAATAATGTGGGTCGACTGCGACGTTGCCGTTCCGTGCGTCCACTAGAGCAGTCTAATTTGAACCTAAAAACTAGTAGCGTTTGAATCATTTTTATTTGTAGTTTAAATCATTTAATTTCGATTATAAGAATTTTAGACTAGGAGCCGGCTGATAAAATATAGGTTATTAGGTACTCAATACACAAATCAGCCGGCTCCTAGTCTAAAATTCTTATAATCGAAATTAAATGATTTAAACTACAAATAAAAATGATTCAAACGCTACTAGTTTTTAGGTTCAAATTAGACTGCTCTAGTGGACGCACGGAACGGCAACGTCGCAGTCGACCCACATTATTTGAATTATTTGGCGGGAAAATAGTTTTTGGCTTTTAATTCTGAAACTAAGAGGCCTAGAGATTTGAAATTATGTCTCGTGTGTACTTTAATTATAACGAATTATTTGATCTTTAAAACGCAACTCTAACTTATACGGTTTTAATAATCCACCGTGTGTTACGTGTCACCAGCTTACACATACATATCGGTTCGTAGTTCGAAAACGGTTCGAGATAAAGCTTTGAAAGATTTGAAGTCGGGTTTTTTTATTCGACTTTAATTTATGAGATATAAAACATTGATGTAGCTTAAATATTTACAAAGATACTGATGTGTAAGCTGGAGACACGGTACTCCAGCTCGCACATAGTTTTTTGATCGTGGTTTTAACAGTATTTGAGCTAAAGTCTTGAAAAGTGGAAAGCCTACTATTTGGATTCGACTGTAATTTTTGAGGTATAATACATTATCGTGGCATAAATATTTACGAAGATACAGATGTGTCAGCTGGGGACACGTGTCCTCAGCTTACACACAGAAAACAACTCATAGTTATGAAGTTCTAATGGCTCTAATTGAATGACTGAGAGGTTTGATGACTCTAATTAGGCTTTTATTGATGGTATACTTGGAATTGCTCTAGGGCCAATGAGGAAGTTGGAGACATTCAGGTATACATTTTTATGAATAAAAAAGGACTGGCACTTTCGTGTTGTTGCATACTTGGTCAGTCGTACATAAAGTGAAAGTTAACCCGGGCTGATTGTACCACATAATTTACATATTATTATGGTTGTTTAAATTTGACACCAGCATCCATAGACAGAGTAAATTAGTGACAGGTCCAATTTCACGGTACATCCACGGCCGTCCTCGCCGCACGCTGCGAGCCGACGCTAGCGCGGGTGACACTGCGGGTGTTGTGTCTCACCGGTCACGATGTCCCCGTTGTCCAGGCAGGTGACGCTCCATACTGAGTGTACTGGCAAACGCACGCTGGCCACGCAGTAGCCGCCCGCCCATAGCCGCACTGAGCCGTCTTCCCCGCACGCCGCGAGCCGACGCTAGCGCGGGTGATACTGCGGGTGTCATGTCTCACCGGTCACGATGTCCCCGTTGTCCAGGCAGGTGACGCTCCACACAGAGTGTACGGGTAGCCGCACGCTAGCCACGCAGTCGTCGCCCGCCCACAGCCGTCTTCCCCGCACGACGCGAGCCGACACTGGCGCGGGTGACACTGCGGGTGTTGTGTCTCACCAGTCACGATGTCCCCGTTGTCCAGGCAGGTGACGCTCCATACTGAGTGTACGGGTAGCCACGTGACGTGACGTAGCCGGATAGCCGTCTTCCCCGCACGTCGTGAGCCAACGCTAGCGCGGGTGATACTGCGGGTGTTGTGACTCACCGGTCACGATGTCCCCGTTGTCCAGGCAGGTGACGCTCCACACAGAGTGTACGGGTAGCCGCACGCTAGCCACGCAGTCACCGCCCGCCCAGAGACGCACTGAGCCGTCTTCCCCGCACGACGCGAAGCCCGATGCCAGCGCCGGGTTCAGACTTATACTGCACAATTCAAAATAAAATATTTATTCCGCACTTAGGCCCACTTGTACACGACCCAATTTTAGTACAGTGTGTCTTGATAAAGTGCTGCTCATATAAAAACAGGTGAAACTAGACCAATTTTGATCGACGGAAAAAATGACAAAAAATATCTGATTTTTTTTTCAATTTTATAGTTTTTTTTAATAACTTATTTTTTAGTATCATTATAACAGTTCAATAAACTTCAACTAGGTACCATGCATGGCATCTGGCTTGAACAAGGCTAATCTGATTAGTGACTTTATTTTACCAACTTACCTATAAATATAATTAGAATGTCCATAGTAGGTATTAAGGCACTGTCCTTTATTACTCCAGAGTCTGATTGTGGCGTCATTGGAGCAGCTTAAAAAGGATTCTGGGCTGGCCACCACTAGACCCCTCACACAATCGGTATGTCCTGAAAAATACATCATTACACAAACTATTAATCAATTCAATTTAAATGTCATGAATATGTTACAGTCAAAACTCATAATTATTCAAAACCACTTTTGACTGCAAATATCAGTCAAAAGTGGTTTTGTCTGATTATGAATAATAATTTTGACTGTAACAAATACAAGTTCACAGCATACAATTCTTTGGGTTTAGAGCATGACACATGCCAAGTGATTGCACAATTTATTGTAAGCATTTTATTTCCAATCGAATTGTTCATTTATATTCAAGTCATTCTTATCAACAAAACTTACCTGTCAGGGTAGTAATTAAAGTGGTATCTTTCTTCCACAGTTTGATTGTTTTGTCAGCGGACGCCGTAGCGTAAGCGCCGTCACCGAGCTCAAGCACCGCCCACACCGCTGCTTGATGGCCTTTGAGGATGAGCGGGGTGGCGTGAGGTTTGTTGACGTTCCACACACGAGCGGAACTGTCCCAGCTTGAACTGTAAAGATGATGTGAGATGTGAGCAGGGTTCGAGGATATATATCAAGGGATATATATCAAGATATATATCCGATATATATCCGATATACAGGGTGTTTGGCGCATCGTGTGCCAAAATGATTTGGCGGATAGAATGGGTCATTTCCTATATTTTCAGCCCCCATAACACGTTCCATGCCAGGCGGCTACTTTTAAATTAATTTTTTTAGTAATTTCACCAAAATACCCAAATCGCATCATTTAATTTCGATTTAAAAAAAAACTACTAGGCGCAGCCCTAAAGTAAATATTTTGTTTTGACGTGCATTAATGTGGGGTTGCATCAAATCTAAATTTACTGGCAAATATCACGGTAATACTATCTATACAGTATTCCAACTCGGTCATATTTTTGAAATAAATGTCAACAGCCGCGCGGTACGTCACCGTTTGACAACATGCGATAGGGCTGCCCACCTGCGCACCCTGTTTTCATTACATCTGCCTTCTTGAATTTCTATCTAGTTTTGTAAATGTATTTTGTGATTGTAATTTTTTTTTCTTATTATTTCGCTTACCCGCATTTAATTATTAAAACAACAATATACATTTTAATTTCCAATTAACATCTGTTTCACAGTAAAAATGCTTACAATGGTGAAGTCTGAAAATTGTTATCATGATATTTATTTTGAATGATAATAAAAATAAAATGATATTCACTGACTTCACCATACTATTTTCATGCATAAATATTAACATGGGCTAGTGTTGACTTATAAATCCATTTACCTAACACCCTGTATAAATAGGTACTTGTAATTATTTTTATAAAAAAAACACTATGTTTAAAAAACACATCGTCTGTTTATTACTGTGGCACATTCGCGACACCCCCGACTTTTGCATGTCGAGCGCATACCGAGATTTGAATTTCGAAGGAAAGCTCGAGTTTCGTCCGTTTGTATGAAGTTACAATACTGTATGATAGTATTACCCAATGATTTGAGGACTGTTGTCCCCCCTGGCAAAAATTATTTAAAAGCCATAAAATTTTATAACATTTAAGAAGGACTGGAGTACCTGAATGAATGCCAAATTGCCAAACTGAATACCTAAACGTATGTCAAATAATAATTAACATTTGGATAACGAAAAAAATATAAGTTCTTGGTACCGGTACTATTTCAGACTATTTCAATATTTGCTTTACTTGCTTTTGAATTATCCCTACTAAATAATATTATAAATGCGAAAGTAACTTTATCTTTTTTTATAAAAAAAAGATAAAAAAAAAAGATAAAAAAAAAGATAAAAGATCATTTATTCACCGAGAAATAAATATAAAAATATAGCGGACAAAGCCGTAGGCTTAGATCTAAGGCCGTAGGCAAAAAACTAAGTACCTCTATTATGCTATTCTCATGTATAAAAAATATTATCTAGGTACCTACTGTAAGTAAAAATCCGTTTAGTAGTTTTTACGTGAAAGAGTATCAAACATCCATACTCACAAAGTTCCGCATTTACTTACAACATTAGTAGGTAGGATGCTAAAACTGAATAATTTTAAATCTATACTTAATATTATAAAGCTGAAGAGTTTGTTTGTTTACTTGGACGCGCTAATCTCAGGAACTATCGGTACGATTTGAAAAATTCTTTCAGTGTTAGATAGCCCATTTGTTGAGGAAGGCTATAGGCTATATACTATCACGCTACGAGTAATAGGTGCAGAGCAAAAATAAAAATTGTTGCGAAAACGGGTTTTCATGCATACGAAGTCGCGGGCACAGCTAGTTAAATAATATTCAACAAATTACTTGCTCAGTGACAGTGATTCAACTAGCAGCTCCGCCCGCGATTTCGTCATATTATTTTCAATCCTTTAATAAATAAATTCCGTTCTTAGTGGATATCTACACCCTATAAGGAAACCTACCTGCCAAATTTCAAGTTTGTAAAATCGTTCACCGGTTTGGCACTGTTGGGTTTAGTCCTTGGTTACGAAGTCGAGGTATTCCTCTGGGCCCGGGTCAAACTCTCTCCACTTAAAATGTAGCATTTCATAACACTCGCGCTGCGAATACATCGTTACGTTGACCGCACGACGGAACAATCGGCGCGCGCATCGATACGCGCGTCTCGTAATGGGTTGCGCGGGCGACTGATTGAAGCGCCGCGCGCGCGGCCAGGCCGGCGGCGGCCGGTCGAGCGTTGCCACACGTTGCCAGCTCTCCGCTCGACCAGCTCTCCCGCACAATGTTTACGCGCTAAGCGCGGTAACCACACTACGTGATTAATTGGTTAGGAAAAAAATAGTTGATGTTAAAATTTGACCTACCTATTTTTTATTAAAAATGTCATCTATAAACGATACCTAATGTCAGGAAAAAATTTGGATACTGATACAAAAGTCACCCTGTATAATAACGCACTGGAGAGTGTAGATTCTTGGATTTAAAACGGTTTGTAACTGAAAACTTCTTTAGGGGGCAAACTTATAATCCGTCAATTTTGCTCTGAGAAGAGCCGCTAACGTGTCTGCTGCTAGGTACTTTACAATAAAAAACTTTAGATGCGTTGTAAATGCTGGTATTTATGACGAATTTCTCGCAGAAAAATGCACATCCGTTAATAAACATCTTTCTTCGTATGGTTTGTGTGCGTGGGTATGTTTTGTTCGTTTTATTTTTTACTAGCTGGATGTAAGAAAACCAAACACAACACACAATAGTCCAAAATTGCTTCAATTATCTATCTCAAGAAGTCTTAGTGAAGTGCTAAATCTTTGGTATATCCCAACTTCCCAACTAATATTACAAATGCGAAAGTAACTCTGTCTGTCTGTCTGTCTGTTACGCTTTCCCGCTTAAACCTCGCAACCGATTTTGATGAAATTTGGCATAGAGATAGTTTGAGTCCCGGGAAAGAACATAGGATAGTTTTTATCCCGGTTTTTGAAACAGGGACGCGCGCGATAAAGTTTTTCTGTGACAGACAAAAATCCACGCGGGCGAAGCCGCGGGCGGAAAGCTAGACTTTATATATTTTATACTAAAGTTCTTAAGAGTCTGATTGTCTTTTATCACATTTATCATGCATCAATAATCAAATTGAAATAATAAAACTCTGGCTAAATATGCACACACCCAAGCCTTACGAAAAAAAGAACGATACTAAATTAGTCTTTATCCAAAGCCACAACATTACTTTGTCTTTGGCATCTTATGTCTTGACATTTATCTGTTGCCAACATAAAAGAAAAAGGCGGGAAATGTAAACAGTTTCTATTTTTATTATTTTTTAAGAAATTTTATTACTAATAATCACTTTTAACTACCTAAACTACTGAAAATTATGATAATAACCGTAAGTAACACTATACCAATATAATTTTTGAGCTATAGTGATTATTTAACCTGCCTTTCCTACAACTTGAATTTGGCCTATGAATAGCTTTAATTTTGTGAATTATTTATTTTGCTTCAAATGGTGTGATAGCAGCGACCAAGATTTAAGAACAATTGCGGCTGTTTTCATTACAATCCAGCTTTTATTTGTTTCTTTCTGGCGCCAGTGTGCCGGGCAAACGAACAGTGCCTATACATGCCAGATCCATGTTATACATACGTAGTGGAAAAATGGCGTCGACGGTGTGTGTTTCTAGGTGCCGACTGTTAGCAAAATTAGAAATAAATCGTGGATTGTGTTTATCACCATTATTAAGGGATTTATCAAATAACAGGGTAAGTTTCTGAATATTTCTAGTGGTATTATATCATAATATTGCCCAGTTTCATAGATGACTGCCGAAATTAAGACTTTCTTTGCTGCACGTGTAGGTTATAGCTATACCTATACATTTAATTTGGAGCTGTCAAACGAAGATTTTGTTTTTGTTGCTATTAAAATTTTAATCATGCTTTACAAACTGTTAATTCCACGTTAATTGGTATTTTGAATTGTATCAGATTCTTATAAGAAATTTTACTCAAAGATGGTAAACATTTGGTAAGTGAAAATAACCGCTAAATTCTAAATGCCGGATTTATTGTTTACATGATAATGTTACGGTGTTATGTGTATCGGTATTAGTTCGACATAAATATTTGTTTAGTTACAGTGAACTACATACAGTCGTGTCGTGCTCACTTTGTGCTTTACTGATAACAATGATTTATTATGAATGGACTAGGCACATTAAAAATAACTGCTAAGGATAATAAAATTGGCTTAAATGTAAGGTTATTTTCAATATATTTCATTATGTTGTTTCACTTTTTCTTCAATATTTTGTATTCCTCTTAAAACTTTATCAAACTGGTTGGTTTGCTGTAACCAGCTTACCTACCTACCTAGTTCAAATTTTTTTTTAAATCTACCTACATATAATTTGAATGTACTTATTTAAATTTTTAATATAGCAATAAATCAATGTAAGTTTCCATAAGCATTTTTTTCTTAATTAATAAAAATAAAAGTTAAATTAATTTGACTAAATTATTGTAACTAACTAAATATTTTTTTTTCAACATCTATAGCATTTGTGAGCATGTTAACAAGAGCCGGACTGCTAAGTATGTCAGCAGTACTGATACAATCAATTCACAGGTCGTTGATCTTAAACCTGTCTATGTTGGTTATCAGGAAAAACTTTGCATATTTAACTTAGTTGCTTGTTGCTTAACATTTTATATTGCTTTTATTTACCATTTTATTGTGTAGTTAGTTAGATAGTTTTATTATTTAGTTAATATTAATTATTTGTATAGTTATCAGTAAATATTCTAAAATATCACCAGTAAACTGATACAAACCTACCTAACATCTTTCAATGATCCATTGTATGATAATATTCTAATGCTTCAAAAGTCGATGACCTATCCCAATAGTTCTTCATTGCACCTAGTATTCATTGATGACTATGATGTGCTCACAATTTTTTATTACAACTTTGGCAAACTGATTCACTGTGCTCATTTCAATTCTAGCCGTGTTGCTGGCCACGTATACGGCGCTCGCTAAGTGAGGTGTTTATCTGTCGTGTTTTGGGACGAAGTTACTTTATTTAGCGACACGTCATTTTAGGCCGTGTAATCGCAATTTACGATAATTGTACTCTTAAAATTGCCTTATTCATAATAATGTGTTGTTTGTTTCCCTGTGAAATATTAAATAAAATGGACCTAAAGTAACATTACAGTAATATCTACTGTAAGTAATGTTAGTAGTAATTTTAGTATGAGAATAGTTGTGGTGCGTGATGCCTCCATGACACGACGATTACTTGCCTAAAAAAATTTTTTTCGAACATAAATCGTTGACAGTATAAATAAACGTGAATTTTAGCTCTCGATTTTCTACAAAATATTTAACTAAATTGTATTCCATGTTAAAGTTATGCATCACGTAATTAAAAATTGGTAAGTAGGTTAGGTACTACCAATGATTATCACTGAGAATATTTCCTATCCAGTCACTTTAATTCCAGAAGAGAGAGAAATCCAAAAATAAAAGCTGTCTTATTCATCTACGTCGTAGATTTTACGAACTTAAAAATGATTTTAAATCTAGTCTAAAGGTAAACTATAAAGAGTAACTTTGAGAACTTCGACCTTTTTACAAGCTTTATATTGACTTCACTTGTTAGTATGTGTGGGACAAATCTTGCAACTGAAATTAAGACCAGTTTTCCTCAACCGATTGAGCTGAAATTTGGTACACTTATGTAAGTACGATGACAATGCAATATTATGGTACCATTGAGCTGGTCAGATGATGGAGTCAGGAGGTGGCCATAGGAACTCCTAAACGAAACGGCGGAAACTCATCAAGTATGGGTTCTTTGGATTCGTCTTCCTGAGTACTTTGGTGCTAAATGATGACCAGGGCCCAGATTGAGATACCATACAACTAAAAAGTGTAAAATAAAATTATAATAAAAAAAAACTTTTTTAAAAACAAGCTTTATTCTGAAATGCACTTGTACTTAAACGAAAAAAATAACTGGAAGCAATGTTCAAAATAATTTCGAAAGCTTGTAGCGCAAACAGAAAAAAGAACAATAAATTCCATACGCGATACAAGCTTTCGAAATTATTTTGAACATTGCTTCCAGTTATTTTTTCGTTTAAGTACAAGTGCATTTCAGAATAAAGCTTGTTTTTAAAAAAGTTTTTTTTTATTATAATTTTTCAAACCCTTGTCAGAAGACCTTCCAAGGTTAACTGGTGCAAAAACTATCGATTTTAATTTTTACCCGGCTGCGCCAGAAGGAGGGTTATTGTATTTACTGAATTGAATAGGACGCTAGGCACATCATTATTATCATATCTACTACTGTAGGATTATTTACTTGGTTGGTTGTAGTTAAGAAAGAAAGTTTTACGAGTATTACTATCCAACAGGGTGAGTTTTGAAACAAAAAGGAGGTCGTGAATATGCCCCAGATAACACGAAATTATTTAGTAGAAAACTCCGAGAAGAAGTAACTACGTTTAAACAACGATCAAGTTGTGTAATATAAAGTAAAAAAATATTGTTAAAGGGTTTCGTTCAGCTTGGAGAATCGCAAGCGGTCGAAACATGCATAATCGTGGCTGCGGCTGCATAAAGATTCCAAGGTGATTGTACTTTTAACATTGAGACAATCGCAATGTAGGGCGCGTAACCGACCAGCTGTGTCATCGGCACTGAATAAGTTTTATACTGTCAATTCGATTCATACGATTGTGCTAATCAATGAGTCAATGAATGTTCAATCAAAAGAAATACCAGTAGGTGGGTACTGTTAAGTAATGTAATTAAGCGATTATCGTGTAAACCGTATCGTGTAAATTTTTTTATCGGATCGAGCGAATATCGATTAAATCTGTTATGTAATCAGAGATAAACGGCTTCAAGTGCTTCGTTATAAAATGTTATGTTTAACAAGGAAGATAAGGTTGAAAAGGGTGTGATTAACTCAATGATGATGATGCACGGAAGAAGGATATGTTAGGAGTAGATACATTGTCTGATCAATAGTATTTGAGAGCAGAGCAGAGCGTTAAAATGTGATTTGTCTAATCTATAAGCACTTATTACAATACGAGTAGGTAACCCAATGTTAGTATCCGTAAAGTTAACATTAAATGATTCATTACTTTGTGATATCATCAAGACTAACAAGATGGAAGTGTTAACGTGGAATTGTATTATTTAAAATTTTGGAAGATTTATTGATTGGCTAAAATTTTCCGGTTTTAAGTCTACTAGTAGGTACCTACTTACCAAAACTCGTTGAAAGTTTTAGAAATAGGATGTTGTTGGTAACCAACGAATTTACTGATAACTCTATTGTAAAAATATAATTTAGTATAATAGTCGCACCTACTACGATGCCGAAACGTTTTTATAAGTTTACTGAAAGATGCCTAATGCTTTACTTACTAAATAATGAAGATTAAACACACGTAGATTGTGGCGAGTTTAAAAATTACCGCTGAAATTCACGACATCGATTTCCCCGCGGATATTTTCTCTATGACACATTAAATACGCACTTACCGAAACTTTTCACTAAAAATAAATAAAATGTAACCTTTAGACGTAAAAAAATATAATGTCTATGAAAAGGAAACTATATCGTTTGATTATTTTAAATTACCTATTATTTTAATTTCTAATGAGGGAACTTACCAAAGTCAATTTGTAAGTGATTTCAACTACGGTAAAACAAATAAGGAAAATGATATTCCAGTCACGGATATCAGTTAATTTTGGGTGACATATTTCAGAACTAACGTTTTTCTGTGTTTAGAATCCCATTAAAACCATTGCACTTAAGGCCCATACTTGTATTTTAAAGCTCGACCAACGGCACCTTTTCATGCAAAACTAAATTATCTGAGTAAAATGTCTAGCAAAGCAACTGCATTAACATTAGCATTGTTATTATAAGTTATTCTACTTCCGTAATATTGTGTTAAATTCAAATTCAAATATTTATTTCAAATATTCATAAATATTTAAAACTACAAGGGAAACGTGGCTGTAGAAAATTGCTTCAGTCTCGCCTTAACAATGAAATTTTAGTCGCGTAGCCGATTGATGATTAATATGGTCGTAGATTTTGTTAGAGATACACCTACTGCTAGTTTATCGTGTTAAAGTACTAGTTTGAATATTAATAGTATGGTAGGTAATTGGTGTAGTAATGTAAATAGTATCCTTATTTATTTATATTACAGTATTAAAATGGTATTAAAATCAACACTGAACTAATTATACTTGGATAGAGCTTAAAATATTATATTCATTCACATTGAAAGGCGTGGAACCTAAAATTATTTATTAGTAGAATTAATAGTACCTATGATATTATTTAACTCTACAGTTATTATTTCAGTTATTAAGTATTGTAATTTATTTCAATAGGAGTCATGGTGTCGGCGGTGGCGGCCTACGCGCCGCTCGTTCTACACAAGTGTATGCGCACATGGATCCAAGTCTTCAGCCTCCAAAGTCGACCACGAAAAATCTGACGGTAAGCTTGAGAGTCCAGGGAAAAGAAAACCACGTCATAACTGTAATATTGGATATTTAATACAAAGAATAAAAGACCATCACCAAGACTACAGTAATTTTCGATTCGGAATGTTTACAATTTTCTACGGTAAAAGTTATGCACCTAAACTATACTAGATACATGATAAAGCTAAATATTTATAAAAGAAGTTTATTACTATACCTACTAGCAATAATTTAATAGCGTTATTTTATCATTTGAATACAGATCACAATTTACGTATGTAAGCGAAGCTTAAATTACATTCTAATTACTTCAAGGACTTATTACTATTTAAACTATCGAAACACGACTCAAGAACTTCAAACTCTTCGAATACCATCTCACCAAACTTGCCGGTCGTGGTTTTGGTCTGATCCACGTTGTCGTTCACATAATAAAACTTCTTTTCAAAACTGTGCGCCTCAAGAGCTTGTTTTTCTTTTTCTGCTTGCGTTAAGTTCTTCCGGCCCTCTGCAGTCTCTGAATTTTCCTTACTATCATCTTCCTTAATCGTTGGAACCGCGATATTTGTTTGCGAGGTTGACTCGCTTCTTCTTAGTTCGGATTCGATTCTTTTAATATTATGTTTTGATTTTTGGTTTTCTTTTTTATCATCACTCTTGTTGTTATCAAACGGAGTTTTAACTATACCTTTGTTGTAGCTCTCCAATCGGCAAATTTTATTTTTCACAGAATTTTCATCGTCGTAAACTAACGGCGGGTCATCGGTTTGGAATTTCCTGTACTTGACCCTGGGATTTTTGCTATCATCAGTACCTGTTAATTCTAGGCGACTGCTACAACTGTTGGATTTCACTAGTTTAAATTTAAATCCAGGGAATCCTTCAGCTCGGGTGAATTTATTTTGAGCTTGATTTATCGGTTCAGTTGTGCTACTTACTTTTTGCTTTTCAGAAACCATTTGTTTATGTTTGTCGGCCACAAGACATGAACACCTATTTCCTCTACACTTCGTTTGACAAGAGTAGCAATCTCTACTGCAGTTTTTTTGTAAACTTTTGATTTCTTCCATAATTGCTTTAGTCATAGGGCTGACAGTAGATCCAGTTTTAGAATTTAAAACTTTTCCACCGTAGTATGTTACGGATGTGCCACATTCCCTGATTTTCTTAAGTATGTCAGGACTAACATATTGGCTCTCACAGCAAAAATCTTGACTCATAGAGTCACAAAGATATTCGTCACTGGAACTGTATGAATTATCTTTTAAATTCTTGTGTGAGTAGGGGCTTAAGGCTTCATTTTCGAATTCGTTGTTAGAACTGAGATCTCCACTAGACACTCCACTAGAAAGACTAGCATTGTCCCACTTTTTGTTTCCGAAATTTGTATCAATAGTAAGTTGACGGATAACTTTTTTCCTTCCGCCCATTCTGCTGCCTTTTGTTTCTTCACTTAAGTTTCTGTATGACGTCGCACGTCTTGTCAAGCCCATATTCTCATCGATTAGAGGAGGATCTTGAGTCATTGGACTCTTCATTTTTAATGTATCTTCAAACAAGTTTCTCACTTTCTTTACTGTATCTGGGTTTGGTAATTCTTCTTCTATAATTTCCTTATTCACCCGAATAGGATGGTAGAAAAAGTGTCTACGAATAGCATTTTTAGATTTGTCTACTTGACTGCAGGGATTCTCATTCTTTTTCAATAAGGTAGGTGGAATTTTACAAGTATCGGTATTTTTTCTTGGAACTGGTTCGACTTTGGTTCTGACGGGTTCAATAATAACAATATTGTTGTTAACTAATAATTCTTGAAAACTATAATCTTGCAGATATTGTAACAAGCCATCGAATTGAGCTTCTTTTCTGTAGTTAGCAATCATACTGTTTTTGAACAACTCTGACTTCATTACTTTGTAGCGCACGTGGTCAAACTCATCACATCCTTTTTCAAAACCTTTAGCTTTTATAAGAGTTGCTTGAGTTTTCATGTTTTGATTGTCTTCACTTGTTAATTCTACAATTTCTATTTCTGGCGTGTCTCTGCTAAATTCCGTTTCTGGTTTCTTTGGTTTTGGTTTTTCGTATACCTGTGTCTCAGTGTCTTTTACGATTTTCTCTAACGGCGTCTCTTCAATCTCGGAATCACTTTTTACCTTTTCTGTTTCATCCTTCCATAAATGTAGCTTAGTTTGACTTATTTTACGTATGCTATCTACAATTTTTACACTTTCTAGTGATTTTATGATATTACCGACCGATATTTCTGGAGAAGACTTCTCTTCTTCATTATCATTAACATTTTGTTCTTTTAGCTCATCAGCCATATCATTGATCTGTTGTTGATTATTGTTGTTAAATAATTCTTCATGTTTATAGTCGTTTTCTGACTTCTGTTCTTTTACATCAGGCCCTTTATCTATTAACCGAGACCAGTAATTTTTCACAGAGTTAAGTTTTTCTTGATATTCTATGTCGGTTTTTATTGCGTTGTGTAGTTTCTCTTTGACGCTACTTTCAGTTTTTAATTCTTCTTTTACTTCTGGAACACTATCGACTTTAACGTTTATCTTCTCTTCTGTTTTAGCTACTTCTGCTGTATTTATTGGAGTGTAAACTGTATTCTTCTCCATTTTATTTGCTGTGTTTTGTTTACTTCTTGAATCAATAACTTGTAAAACTTGGGGCCTGGTCATTGTAGTATTTACTTTTTTGAAAGAATATACTTGCGTATCGTTACAGTTCTTATCTTTGATGATCAATTTAGGAGGTGGTTTCTCAAATCTATGTTGAACGTAAGAAATCTTTTCACTGGTTTCTTTTTTGAGCTTAGGTATAGTGGTTTTAACTACTTTATTAAGCTTAATAGTTATAAAAGGATCTTTTGGTGTATGGAAACTAGAAGTATCGATAGAACTGTTTTCAGTTGTAGGTTTCTTGATTTCTTTATTCTTTTCAGATTGTGTCTCTTGTTCTTTTTTTATTGGCTTTATTGGCTCAACTTTGACTTCTGTGTCTTTATTATCTTTGTTTGATATAACTTCCTTTTGTTGTGACACAGTAGGTAGATTAATGTCACTTGGTTTCTGATTGAGTGGTGGATCAATAACAATAGTTTGGTGACCACTCAATGGTACTATAGCAATATTGGATTCCGCTGATGTTTTGAATGATTGTACTCTAGATAGGAGTGATTGAGCTTTTATTTCTTCGATTTGAGAGGATTTGACCAAAGGAGAATCAGTTGATTTATAAAGAGACCTTTCTACAGTATTTGGGCTAGGTATGCGATTTATGTCTTCGTCGACGGGATCTCGCTGTCTCAAAGAGTAGTGTTTCTTTATTCCGACCCGAGATTTCTTCTCTTGTACAGTTTTGCAGATATTGTCGTTTGACAAAGACTTAATAATGTTGATCTCAGGTCTATATACAGAATTAATCTTAAGACTTTCAGATTTAGTTATAACTTTGTTGTTCCTTATAGTTCCTTCTATTTCATTTATTTCTCTTTCGTTCTGGTGTGTATCAGAACTGTAGAAAATTTCTTTATCGTCTGCGTTCGAACTTTCTATAGTTATAATGGATTTCAAGTCGTCTTCAAGTTTAGTGAAATTTTGTATTAAATGTGGTTCTGAATATTCTGGTAAGTAGATTGGGTTATTTGTTTTGAGTGTATTATTGTTATGGTTAATATTCGATTTATTGAGCTGACCGTAATTGCCGTTACCTTTTGAAGATAAAATTTCTCTGAAGTGTGTTTGTGCAATTTCGTACGTATTTTCACAAGGAATATCTTCGGGGTCTTCCTCGCGTAATTGTGCGTCTATTCGTTCTGATTTTCTTAAGCATTTACTTATATTTATATCTGGTAAAGAGTAATACTGATTTTCAATTAATGTGGTCACAAATGGTTCAGTTGTGATATTTTTAGTAGACGTGCAATTGCTTTTTGTGGAAAATGTGTCACTTTCAATGTAAGTGTTGCTTATATAGACTTCGTTGTTTTGATTTTTGTGAATTTCGTTAAACAAATTCACACTTTTACTCGAAAAGGAATCCCGTTTGATATCAGCGAAGGTTTTCTTTTTATTGACTTTTGTATAGATGGGATCAGATTCTGGATTATTTTCCGAATTAATAGTCCTCGATGTCACGGAAATATTTTCTTTGAATTGCGAGTCACAATACTCATCAATTTTTTCAGCTAAGGAATTAGCCAAATATTCCAATTTGTGTGACTTGTCTGACGAAGCAATTGAAATTGAAATATAAGACGTTATACTGTCGTGAGGACTTGAAATAGTACCGTCACTTTCTGAAACTATAGACTGTGCATCTTCATCTGGTTTTGGTTCGCTCTTCTTACTTATTGTATCCGGATCTTTATTATCTTGTGTTTCTTCCTGATTATTGGTTATAGGAATTTCATCACAAGAATGTGTTTCATTAATATTTACCGGCGGTATTAGCTCTCCCTTATCTTTATCACTGTGAGTGATTGACAAACTATCGTTGGTAAACGATTTTGGTGTATTATTTTTGGACCTGCCCCTATCTTCGTTATCAGTGTCGTGGTCGTCAGTTGTTACGTAGAGTTCTTTACTATGATTTGGAGACACTGCTGATCTTTCAGTTTCGGGAGAACTGTCCTTGTAATTCTTTCGATGTGCTTCAAAGTTATAGTGTTTTCTTACGTAATTAGAATCTAAACTATCTATTTCGCTGGGGTTACGCGAGTGTCCGATGCTGTCTTCGGAAAGGTTCGTCTGCTTAGATTCTTCGTTTAAATTTGGCCAACTGCCACTTACAGATCTAGAATGATGACTCTCGTTTCGGGATAATGCGTCTTCCTTTTCAGACTTATTGTCTGGTGTAGCGATTTGAATATCGCTTTCTCTTTGAGCGTTTATATCACCGAAACAAGAGGCAGTGCTATCAATATAAATACTCTCCAATACTTCTTCCTTTGTTTGATATTTTGCTCGTCCAGGAAACCTGAAATTGAGAAAACATGATTTGAATTTTGTGAACAAATGATCAATTTTAGGAAACTAAGGGTGTGTAAATCTGAGTATGCAATTTCTTGACAATTTACTAATAGGCGAACACAATAATTAATATGGTTATTAAAAAGTAAGAATAATAAAAAGGTTTTATTTATTACCTGTCTTTGAAGCAAGGTTTGTCGAATAAGCGGGCACGGGGTATAAGCTGTGATCTTTTGCTTTTAGCGTGGTTTTGTATTTGTAGATCGGTGAAGGTCTCTTCTCTTATAACTGCTAAACTTCGACTGCGCCTTAGGTTTGATGGTTCTGGTTCTTTATGTTTACATAATCTACCGTAACTACCACTGAATTCGGTATCAGAATTCGAGAATCGTTTTTGTAACAATTCTTCTGCTGCTTTGGATCGCGTTAGGTGTTGATAGAATTCGTCTTGAGGTAACTGTACAGGGAGCTTATAATACTCTGCGAGTTTACTTTGATATTTTTCGTGCTTCTTATTTTTGTTCTCGCATATATCTTTGTCCTTCTCCTTTACTTTTGAATGTTTCCTCTTTTTGGGACGCTCCTCTTGACTTTTCTTGGATTCAAGCGAATTGCGCGGTTTGTCGAACTCTAGCGTTTCTGTGGGATTCTCAAAGTACTGTATGTCACCGACGGTGTTTGCCGCGGACTTGTGCTCGTCCTGACTCGATTTCCTTTCGACTAGTTCTCGAAGGCGGCTTCTTGTGGAGCTGGCATTAGACGTCACGCTTTCCGGCCGCTTGTGTGGATACTCCAAATTGGATGAAGACCGTCTGAAGAGGCTTGTCTTGATCGACCCGAAGTCGCCTTCGTCTTGACAAGAAGCCGCTGAGAAATTCTGTGTTCTTATACGGTCAACGTGATTCTGGCTAGAATACGACGCGACCGAGTCCACCGAGTGTCTGAAACGCAAAACATTCTAGATTAGATTAAGATGTATCATGGTGCAGAAAGATAATTTTGTTTGCATATGATATAGTTCAGCTTTTGGTGTGGTAAGTCTTGAGTCATAGTTTATTATTGAATGCGGCATTGTTCAAATATTAAGATAGGACATCGTTAATGATAGGGTATCCTTCGTCAAACACTTAGGGATCCTCAGAATCATTAAGGGTTTGGCCAAAGGCAACAGAGATTTCTGTGTTGTCAGTTGACGTGTTTTATGCCTAGACAATATTGGCACGTCGCCAGCGTCGTTCTAAATCGATGTTGACAGCAAAACATTCAAATCCTAGTTATTTGATGTTGTTTTTTTTTGTGTCTAAGGGGACTGAGCACGATTGATGTAATGATAATTTTGACCTAACCTCTAACGCCATGTTCTAAATATACCATGATACTAAAATATATTTATACTTTAATAGCCATGTTAGTAATGTAGCATGTACCTGGTGATTTATAAGTTTCAATAAAACTTCGCTTACAAAATCAAATTGAGGCTCTGAGAATATGAAAGATAAGAGTTGAAGTTTTCCATAATTTATTAATAAAAAAATTAAAGCACGACGAAAACCAACAGGGGAGTACCGCAGCGTAAACTTGATTACTCAAATTGAGGGCCTAATAATAAGGAAGGTTGGTTATAAAATTATTCATCTACTTTCTACCCTCCTGCTTGACCCATCTTCGGTGTAATAACCTTGGCTCGTCGAGAATTTCTCTCAGAAAATCTATGTCTAATCGACTTGATTGTTTTTCATTGAATAAATGTTTATTGTGATGAAGATTTGTTTTCGTATGTCCTAATCTAACCAGTTTTTTTCAATAAACCATATTGTTATATTGATTTTCAATGGTAACGTTTACAATGGCTAAAAATAAATCAACTGTTGATCGAAACCTCGGCCCGAAGTGGCCAGTTGCGAACGAAATGAACCATAAAATGTTGGTCGCTTAGATTTTTACCAAATGTTCTTGGGATTGTCTGCAGAGATCATTTGAACGCTGGCCAAAACGCCCCGTCTTAGTAATAAACACGGCGCCCAGTGTCAGCCGGAACGCAATGACACTTAATGTACTACGAGTGAGTTTAAAAATTCCAATTTCTATTGGGAAATGTATATGTATCGACTGCAGATCTGGGGGCACGGCAGTGCCCCCACCAAGTCGAGCAAAAAAGCGGCACGGCCGTACCATCCTTTTCTCGAAGCAATTCAGGCCATTTTCGACCGCCTGTAACTTCGTTGTGGATAAAACTAGAAGGCTGAATTTTCATTAGCTATGCAGGAATTGTAAAGACACGGTATATTTAAAATTTCATTCAATTTGAACCAGTAGTTTAAGAATTATAACGGGTCAAAGTTACTTAATTTTGTCACTCACTGACTGACTCACTCACTCACTGACTCACTCACTGACTCACCGATCATCAAAACTCTAAGGCACTTCTAGCAGACCTAGAAGCTTCAAATTTGGAATATAAGTAGTGTTTGGTGTATGAATCAAGGAAAAACTAAAATATTTGGGGGCACGGTAGTGCAACCGCCAAGTCGAGTAAAATTTTTCAATTTCGGTCCAGTTTTCTAGATACATAACTGCTGTCTACAAAATACAAAAAGAAATGAGATCCCATCAAAAACAATACTTGTCAAAAAAACCAAGTCTCGCAACTCAGTTGTTCTACGGTAAAAAGTTGTGAGATCCATGTAATACCAAGTCCAGGCCAGGAAATCTTTAACGTTTTACATAAAATATTGACTTGGCCATCGCATGAAAACACGTGTAAATTAAATTATTTAGTGCGATGGCCAAGTCAATATATTTATGTAAAACGTTAAAGATTTCCTGGCCTGGACTTGGTATTACATGGATCTCACAACTTTTTACCGTAGAACAACTGAGTTGCGAGACTTGGTTTTTTTGACAAGTATTGTTTTTGATGGGATACAATTTTCTGGAGTTATTTCCAAGCAGCTTCATAGAAATTGCTACATTCCATAAGGATTAACAGTTGTTGCTTTAGTTAGTTTCAATAACATACTACTTTTAGGTACATCAACGTAAAAATACTTTGTCAAAACTAAAATATAAATAAGTCTACGTTAGTTTAGTTAAGTGTTTTTACCTCAGTTTCATCTTTACGACATAGGCAATTATTCTAATAGATTGCGGAGTTCTTATCTATTTCAACTCGTGTAGAGAGTAAACAACACCAAGTAGGCACCATAACAAAAATAGCTGTTTCCTAACTTACTAAAATTCTACGCAAGGGCATTGAATGTACCAGCCCCAAAGTTCGAGAGTAACGGGGTGTACCAAAGTTATTCTGCGGTATATTTTCCCGCGACCCGCTGTAAGAATGTCAGCTATAAATATTCATGGTACCGCCAACCGGCCGACGACTCCCGCTTTTTCAGAACGCACACTCCCGCAATTGTTCTAGGAATTTAACGAGTTATTGAGATACCTCCGCCATGTAGAGCACGATAAGACTTTCAGCTACAGTGGAAATTACACGTAATAAATGACTGTTGATACGCAGTGATGCGATTTATTGATCGAGCAGAGATTTTCTGAAAAGAGTGAGTAGATACTTAGTAATTGTATTAGCCAATGATTGGTGTAATGGCGTGATTCATTGGCCGCAACAAATATGATATGAGCTGTTGGAATTTATTACTTTTATTTTGACTGACATTTTAGCGATAATGTAGTAATGGATGGGCGTTATGAATAAAATAATCATCGTACTATAATATTTATTTATGCACGTTCACTCTTTCTATCCAAAGATCTATTAAGTCAAAGAAATGAGTCTATTTTTATCTCGTCTTAAATGTGGGAGACATCTTGAGCGATATCTAAGCACATTTGAGATTACTGTTTTATAATAAGTAGATTAGTCAAATGAAATTCAAGGTAACTTATTCGCGTACTGTGTATGGTAATGGTCTCGCAAATAACAACATGGTAACCTGGTTCTTATTTTTCTTCTCAAGTTGCCCGAGTTGAAGTTACTTTTTAGGGGTCGTATTGACAAATTAATAGTATACCTTACTGTTAACTGATTTTTTACTATGTGTGATAATATTATAATCGAACCGACCCGAATCTGAGACGACGATAAAGTTGAACTAACTAAAGCGTGGAAAAACCTTGAAACAGTATCATCTAAGACTGAAACGGTCTGTTGAAACGAAATAATCAGCAACGACGACCGCGGTCATAGTCAATTGATTTTCTTATATTGCGTACGCGCTGCGTTAATCAGCTTATAATAATTAAGCAATTACTGAATACAATAAAGGTATTTAGTTAATGAGCCTTTACAGCGGGCTTTTATTGATTGCACCTGCGTTGGCTACCGTTCACTAGTCATGCTAATCTAATACATTTTACTGCTCTGCAATAAAAGTGAATTATTTTACTTCGTGGATTGCTCTTGGCTCGAATGCAGTGATCGTAATAATAAACAGAGGAAGTTCATAAACTGGCAGCGCCCTTTATTGAAACAAATGTCTTTAAAGTGTTTATGATGCTTTGTTATTACTCGTACTACAATACAGCTATTACAGCTATCACTTATCCTAGTGGTTGAAGCCATAGGTGAAGCTAAGCAATCAAAAACAGAGGAAAACTTATTGATTGCTCTTTTAAAGCCAGTGAGTGGGCATAGAAATGTTATTTCAATTATGCGTTGATATAAATAAATGTACACAAATATCCGATTGAGACGGTCATATCATGAGAAGATTAATGGTTTAAAATGTTAATGTCAGCAGTAGCCACAGGCCAGTCAGTACCACGGTAATTCATTTATTAATAGTTTCCGTCGTTGGTATGTCCGCTTAAATTTTCGTCCATTGTAATAAAATAGCCGCAAATGTGTAATTTCGTTCTGGTTGTCTACTGGAATAAAACTACCTATCGTTTATACGGGGTGTTCTTTTTACGGGGTGCTTTTCAGATAATGCAGTCCAGGCTGAGTTTGTCAAAACATCGCCTTCTACATACTTTGAGGACCTAAATTGCTTCTTTAATGCCTGTGTGGAAACCATTTACGTCTGCTAAATCAAAAATCATCTACGAATGGGCCTCGAACAGGCAGTCATATAATACGGGAAGTTTGTGTAGTATATCAATTTTGTTCCGGTGATTAGTCCGTAATGTGCAAACGGACTTCCACCTTAAAAACTTTCGAGTCAGTTTTTACCGACTGAAAATAAGAGGTCAATGTAATCATATTGTAACATTAGTTACAAATAATTATCTTTCAGGTTTAGTATTGCGGCACGATAAAAATAAATTAATCGTATCTTTAAAACATGAAAAATATTTATTAAAATATACCTAATAAAGAAGGAAACCCTATAAAATACTATGTTACCTGTGGCGGAGGCACAGCCGGTGTCAAGTCATTCAATTAAATATTTTTAGATTAGCGACTTTTTAATTTTCATCATGTACTGATAGTTATAAATGTTTTTTAAACGAACAATGCCATACAATCTGAATCTGATTAAGATCCTCATAACGAAAATGTTCTAAGTAAGTCTACTACTACTAGAAATTCTGTGCTATAGCTTACTTACTTAAGTTTTCATACGCTTCGCTAAGTTTAATAAAGAACACTGCAGGTCAGTCGACTGTGATAGAATTTAAAATATGCTGGAGCGAGGGAGTTTCCAAGACCTATTTTTGGTTTGCATAAAAAATACGATGTTTCAACTCAATCATGTGAGTAGCTGGTTGAGTTAAACCAGCTGGATAGTTAATGTTAATGTCTTTTTTACTACATGCGATGTTTATATCTAAATATATAAAAGGAGAAACTGACTGACTGACTGACAGATCAACGCACAGCCTAAACGGCTAAACGTAGGCACTTGAAATTTGGAAGGGACGTAGCTTAGGTACCGTAGAGGTGCACTAAGAAAGGAATTTCCGAAATTCCCACGGGAAC